CACACACACACACACACACACACACACACACACACACACACACACACACACACAACCTCCTGGTGAGTCGGTGAAACTTCCGTGAAAGTCCGACGAAACAGTGTGGCACAGTCATGCTTTTTTTGAGTGTTTACTACTGTCTAGTGAATATGACAACACACACACACACACACACACACACACACACACACACACACACACACACACACACACACAAGCTGTTGCCCCAAAGAAACCCTAGCTAAACACGGTTCAAAATGGTTCTATTATGATTCGTGCTGCCTGTTAAAGAGGAAAATGTTTTTAAGTGTTGGGCGGACTCAGTCCGGTTCTACTCATCTGGTTGGACTGTGCTATTCGATGGAGCAATGCAACTGCAAGAATTGGATGTGGTGTTTCCACAGTCCACACCCGAACCTGACCTGTCCGGTCTGTAGGGGTGGCCACTTACAGTAGGGGACAGCTGCTCCTCAACTCAAAATTCACTGCAACCCAAACACTGACTGGCCTCTTGTGAGTATTGAGAACCCCTCTTGTGAAGTTTGTCTTTCCTCAGCTCTGTTCTTTGCCCCTCCACTTCCCTCCTCTTCCCTTTCATCCTCCTTGTTCCCTCCTCTTCCCTTTCATCCTCCTTGTTCCCTCCTCTTCCCTTTCATCCTCCTTGTTCCCTCCTCTTCCCCTTCTCACTCCCCCGCCCCTCGCTTCCCATTGAACTCCACCCCCTGCCCCTTTCCTTCCTCCCTCCTGTTCTGTACTACTACCGTCTTCACCCTAATAGAACGGCCAGTCATTATCGCTGTATGTAGACTGAAAATTGCACCAAATACGGCTATAATGACCGGGGGTTGTATTCGGGTGAAGACGGTGGTACTCAATGCATATGGATGAGCATTGAGCACCATCAAGAGAACAGACAAAATATAAACTGAAGATCTGAGGAAAAATGAACAGGAATATACCTCCCCCCTTTGCTCAGCCTCCTTTCATAGTGTGCAAGCGGGCTGTTATGGCACACCGCCCCGGGATGTGGGCAGTTCATGCTCAACCACAATCAATGTGGCGAGCCTTGTATGTGACAGGCAAAGTAAGAGTGGAGCAACAAATAAAAGGTTTACCCCAACTTATCCCAAAGAAAGCCAAAGTTAAAATAGTCAAGAAAGGGATGTAACGGATCCGTTCTGCTTCATTTTGCTTGCTATGGAGGTACATCTGTTTTGTTGTTGGATTGGCCCATACTTAGTGTGCTTCATCTTGTGCAATAGAGGTATTAAATCTGCTTACAAAGTTTTTCTACAGCTAAAGAATAAGCATGTTCCTGTGCCATCATAGAAACATAATCTAATCGATCAAAATAAGGCAAAGCTTGTAGATAGGCTTTGATCTTGGATCCACTCATCTGCAGTGGGTGGAACAGGGGCTGTTGTCAGTTTACCAACGGCATCTGCCCTGCTGCTCGCCTGGTTGTTCGGCTGCGTTGTTGCCTCGCTGCTTGGTTGCCTCTCTGCCGTGCTGCCTCGCTGCCTTCTTGCCCATCTACCCTGCTGATTGCCTTGTTGTTTGGCTGCCTCATGCTGTGCTACGCTGTTGCGTCACATTGTTGTGCTGCCCCGCTGCCTTGTTGCCCACCCGCTTGCGTGGTCTCTCTGTGATGCTCAGTTGTTGGCCTTGCAGTTTGGCTGGCTTGTGGGTCTTGCCTTGTGTCTGACTGCCCTCTGCCTTTTTTCTGTTGCTGCCTGCTGCCTGTCTTGTCAATGCTGCTTGTTCTCGCGCTGCTTTAAATGCTTCACTGCCTTGCTGCTCTGTTGCTTGCCGTGTCGTTTGGATCCCCACCCGCCTCCCCATGCTCTCCAGTCTATGTGCCTTGCTGTTTCTTGCCTTTCAGTGCCTTGCCGCCTCGTGGCCGGCTGCTCATAGTGCTACCTTGGTGCTTGCCTTGTCATTCGTCCTCCCATCCACCTCTCTTGTGCCCTCTAGCCTATGTGCCTTGCTTCTGCTTCTGTTCAGTGCCATGTTGCCTCACCCTTGCCTTGCTGCTTGTGATCAATGTGATGTCACCTGCTGGCCCTCAGGTGTCCATGACTCAAAGCCCCTGCTGGCCCTCAGCTTCTGCTTCTGTTCAGTGCAGCCATGTTGCCTCGCCCTTCCCTTTGGGATCAACGGTGCAGTCTTGCCAAGGGATATGACTGATCTGGTTTCCTTTACAACAGTGGTTGAAGGAGTCCATGACTCAAAACATCGATATCGGGATTCCACAGATTGTAGAGGGTTCAGCATCCTGATGAGTTGGTGCAAAAATCGCACTAAACAGTCTTTCATTGTCCTTGACACCGTGTTTGTTTTTGTCCATTCTTTTTGCTTTTTCCTGTTCAGCCTTGCACTTGGACTTGTCCTGTCTTCCATGCTTCTGTTGAGTCCGCTATAGGAATACACAAACTTGGCTTTTGTCTTTTGCAGTATTGCTTTCAGGGTTATCTTATGAATTCTTTTTTTTTTGGGGGGGGGGGTATCTTACGGCTTCACTCGCTCAGATGCTTGTTGTTTTCCTCCTGAGTTATTGCGATGATATGGTGCATGGTCCCCACCCTGAGAATGAACTTATATGTGTTTCACACTAGTCATCTCTCTCTCTCTCTCTCTCTCTCTCTCTCTCTCTCTCTCTCTCTCTCTCTCTCTCTCTCTCTCTCTCTCT